TCTGTTTTCAGCTGATTTATACACTAATGATGAAAACAACCGCATGAATTTTATATTCCATTTCTGCCACTAATCCTCAACAATAGTGGAAACTAAACATTTTTAAAGGCACTATAGAATTTATTGCTTATGCTTTTGTACTGGACTGCATAAAGTTTTCCGCTGAATAGTGGTCTGGTGACTGATCTATAAAGATTAACAAAGTTTTATAAAAACAATTACGCTTATAACTCCTACAGGATATGTCTTGTGTACTATGTAGAAACCAACCATACTCCAATATTCACGCCTCAGTGTTAGTTGTGTATATGTATCAACTACCATATACTGTATATATATGACTATTTCCCTTTTCCTATTAAAATTACTCATTTCAGACAGGCAGCCATATCCATTTCCTGTCAGCTGGAGTGAGCTGTCCTTGGTCCTGACAAGCACTCACTTCCCTTCTTCGTCTCTCGACGCCAAAGGGTCTGCGTCTCCCGTCTGCTCTCTCTGTTCGTTCTCTCTATGCACTCTCTCCTACTCTCTTCCCTCTCCTCCGTTAACTCTCCTCTGTTTCTGCTTTCACTCTGTCTCTCCTTCCACTCTCACTCTCTCTTCCCTCTCTCTCTCTCTCTCTCACCTCTCTCCCTCTCTCTCTCTCTCTGTCTCTCTCTCTGTCTCTCTCTGTCTCTCTCTCTCTCTCTCTCTCTCTCTGTCTCTCTCTGTATTTGCATTGAGCAGCTGAAGCAGCTCGTGCAGCAGGACCTTCCGTGTGACTCTGGTTTCTCTCTTGCGGCTGACGCACTGCTGCTGCTGCTGCTGCATCGTCTCACGGCTTCACTTTACACTTTCCTGAAGGAATTTCTCACCAGTTCGACGGAGAGCCGCGAATTATCCTCCAAATCGGAAGGTTTTAAATCCACAACTTTCAGCACAATCTTGCAGGAAGTGCAGGAAAGCGCAGAGACCGGACAGATTACAGCAACCAGTATGTAACTAAACGAGTTATCATTCTGAATTTTTTTAAACTCTTGCTTCTTAGTAACTGTTCTTATATTCCTCTTATATGTGTTCTGACATTTGTTACTACTATAGTATTGGCTACTACATATCGTGGTAATATTGCTTTAAATTGTAGTATTTCATTGGAATATTAGGCTTACTTTTTACTTTAGGACACTGGAAACTGCGACAAGACACTATGCACTATAAGTGTCGTACGTAATTCATTCTTGACATTGGCATGCTATCATGAATAACCTATAACTTACTATGTAGTAGGTCACGTACAAATGTATAATTGATTTTGAAATGATGTTTCAGCACCAAGGACAGTTAGATTATTGATAAACCTTCTTGTTTAATAAATGAAGTGTATTTCTGTTTTTTTGCATTGTATCTATTTACTTCAAAGTTTGGTCAGGGAGAAGCCTCAGCATATTGGCATACAGATGGCAAAGAGATCTGATCTGAGGCTATCCAGTCATGACCGTGTGTATCTTCGTGTAGTAGCTCAGTTTGTCTTTGCACCTGCAAATCACACTGTGTTAAACATTAACATGATTCCAGTTCCAAGCTGAAGATTTCCAGGATTATTATAATGAAATCATCCAATTATTTTAATTCTCCCATCTGGCCATTTCTCAATAAAATAATAAATAATACAATAATAAAGCAGCTTTTATGTGAAATTCCTGAGAAAAAAGGTAAGAATATAAATAATATAGGGACTGATAACAAAGAGGGAACTGAATATAAGAATGAAGTGTGCCTGCTAAAGTAAGAGAGGGGACCTTGCTGGCGGACAAGCAGATTTTTTAAGCAGCTTTTAGCGATTTAAATTCTGGTTGTTCAAAAGCCAATGTGAGTTGAGTGACCTTAAGTGTGTAGGGGAAAATATTGATCTATCAATTTGAGATACAAACAAATGTAATGAAATCAACTTTACAGGCAACAGAACTAAAGTCTGAATTAATTATGGTAATTTGCTTCTCCCTGACGTCCTCTAGTGTGTCTATAGTGTGTCTAGGCTTTCTATAGATCATTCACATGTGTCCTGAATGGGGCTTAAATCATCACCCTGTGACTGTAGATAATATCTTATGTGATTAGTCTGCCAAATTCTCATTCTGACTTATGAATGCTATATATGAACGTCCTACTTTTTTTAGGGATTCTTCTCTGAATCATTGCTGTAAAATGTCAAAAACCCTGTATTTCATATAATGTGAGCATTTGTATTCACAGTAGCAGACTGCAATGCGTTTAATGTCCCTCAGTCTGGAGGCTCAAAGAGGTTTATTATTGACTTCATTATTCCCTTTACATGGCAGGTTGGAGGGAGTAAGCAGTGACAAGGGCTGAATTAGAATTTATTTTGACTCTCAAACTTTAATGTTGCATGAGGAGGAAGTGCACAGGTCACAAATGAAAAATACAACAATTTTAAGTGGAAAATTGCCCATTCTGTCTGCCTATGAGTCAAAAACCTAAACATAAAAATCATTTGGGGATGGAGTCTGCAAGGACTGATTAGGATTAGATTTACCTGCACAACAACCAAACATATCCTGATTCCTCCAGTCCCCCCGGCTGCCCTGACATTTCATGAGCTGCCCATCATGAATTAGATTTGAATCTCTCCAGCTTTGTCAGAGACTCTAAAATACCATGTGGATAGGAGAAATAGATGAAGCTGATAGACAATGTCCTCCCTCCACATCCTCTCTGTCTATCATCCTCTCGCCCACCATCGTTTTTCCCCTCTTTTCTCTTTTTCTCAGTCGAGCTCACAAAGCACCTGGTCACACACACACACACCTGCAAGGCCCCGAGAGTCCCTCAATCCAAACCCAGTGAGGTGATTGCGTAAAACACTCTGACGTTGTTGGAGTTTTGTGCACAACCCTGAGAGTTTCTCATGGTAATCTGAAGAGCTGATTAATCATTAAAGGTCTAAAAAGGCCTCACAGAGGTTGGAAATTGTGACCGATTAGTACCATCCAGTGCAGAGGTGTTTCTATCTACGTTGTATAAGTTAGAACTCTTGTTGCATGTTGCATGCTGTGAATATGGGTGTGTAGCAGAAATTAAGCAGGGAGATGACATCTTTGCTTCCAGAAAGTAGTGCTGAGTATGACTTCTTCGCAGCAAGAATGTCTGACAGACAGGCAGGAGCTAAAATAGTGGAGTTTCATCCTTATTAACCAGCAAACAGTTGCACAGTGAGGTAGCTGAAACAGTAGATACCTACAGAAATAAATAATCACTTGAGAAAATACAAAATATATAAAATCACTGAAATAATCTAATGAATAGTTTAAAAGTAAAAGATTGGACACCACTCTCGTGTTTACATGTTAAATTTAAAGTTGCAGCCAGCAGACAGTTAGCGTAGCTTAGCATAAAGACTGGAAATCCACATTTCAGAAAGATACAACATGTGAATTAGTGAGCTTTAAGAGGTGCTGATTTTACCCATTTCCAGTCTTTATGCTAAGCTAAGCACCCTATTTACTGTACAAACATCGAACTTATGCCAAGAAAACATATGTGTGTATATGTTGTATATGTATACTATTCCTTTCCTTTTCCTTTTATTTTTTATTTTTATTTCTTTCTTTCTTATCTTTTTTTTTTGCATTATGAAATAAAAAGAGTGACACAAAAAGCAGTCTGGAAAAAATGGCATTTTGAAACAAAAGCTTTTCATAATAATTATGTCAGGCAAAAATAAATAATATATTATCAATAATTTTTACCTGTGTTTATCCATATGGTTACTTATTTCATAATGTATTTATTTATTTAATTAAGAACACTATTTCTTCTTTCCCCCTTCCTCCTCCAGATTGCCTCCTGGACTTTTCTAATCTTTAACTGAGCGCTGGAAGCTCCCCCCGCTGTCACCATGAGCGCGTGCGGCAGGAAGGCCCTGACATTGCTGAGCAGTGTCTTTGCAATCAGCAGCCTGGGGCTACTGGGAGTGGCAGTCAGCACCGACTACTGGTTGTACCTGGAGGAGGGCGTTATTATGCCTCTGAACCAGAGCACTGACATCAAGACCTCGCTGCACTCCGGCCTCTGGAGAGTCTGCTTCCTGGCCGGTCAGTAACCAGTCTAAGGGTGTTTTTTCATTTGATTTATTTGACATTTCAAAATATATATACCATGTCAAACACTATGACACATAAATATTAATCAGGATAACACAAAAAGTTGTGTATGGATCAGTTTCTCGGTGCTCCTGCGACATGAGGGTGTAAATCAGGACTGTGGTACAGATACATGTCATGGTGTTAGGTTTTAGGAGTGGAAGGGTCCTACTTTTCATTTGTACTGTGCAGCATCTAAATGTAGCAGCTGCAGGGAGCTCATCCTGTCACACTGACACATCGTCACTGCATCAGCTTTGACACATGATGACATTCACAATTACTTCATCAGTGTGTGTGTGTGTGTGTGTGTGAGAGAGAGAGAGCGAGAGATGCTGAAGTGATAATATTGAGAATGTGACTCACACTTATGATATAAAAAAAGTTGATGGAAATCAGGACGTCAGGGTTTAAAGGAAGGAAATCTTTTGTGAATACATTTAAATACAGGAAATCCATTTTACATCCAGGATTTATTAAAATGTAGAAAGAAACATACCTTATTTGGTCTTGATCTATTATGTACATTAGAAATAATATTGCCTACATGATGCATGTTGTCATTTAGCCCAGATTTGTTTAGGGGGAAATGTGATTTTTACAGGGTTTATGTTGCCAGGAAACCAGCGGAGACTTCAGGAAGTTAATGGTCCTGTCCAATTTTTTGTGCAGATTAAACAAATTAGACAACATGTTAATTAATGAGCCTTAAAGGCAGATTTTGTTACCCTAAGACAGAGCCAGGCTAGCAGTTTCCCCCTGTTTTCAGACTTTAAGCTAACCGGTTGCTCTCTCCAGCTAAATATTATTGTTCAGACGTAAGAATGACATCAACCTCTAGCTCTTTCCCAAAATGTCAAACTATTTCTTCAATGTTCAGTAAATAAAAGTTTAATTAGGTGTTTTGGCTCACTGGATTCTAGCCTTTATATCTGTTTCATTTCTTACAAACAGTCAATATTGTAACGTTTTTGCCTGCTGTACGTCTGCCAGTCTCTAATATCTCCTTCCCAATGTCCCTCTGAGTCCTGCAGTTGTCTCAGCGTGTTTCCACCTTTTACCCTCACCTGACCTCCACACTAACCTGCACACCTGCTCCCAGTTCCCTCATCAGCTCCACTGTATACATACCTGCCCTTTAGCCATTGTTACCTGCCATATCATCTATTGTGCCATCCCAGCTATAGACTTTCAGCTTTTCTTTGGTCTTTTTGTTCCTGTCTGCCCTGAGATGACCCCATGCCTGCCTTCTCTGACTTCTTGTCTCCCTGTTTTTGGCCTTTTGATGCAGTAAACTTTACTTTTGCCTCATCTGTTTTGTCTATAAGTTGTGTATTTGAAAAGGGATGCTGGATAACTGTCCCTAAACTCAGTCTCAGCATTTTTGTCTCTGATTTCTTCAGGCGAAGAGTCCGGCCGCTGCTTTACCATCGCGTACATCATGCCCATGAATGTCCAGTTGTCGTCAGAGTCCACAGTAAACGTGCTCAGTGAGTAACAACTCCAAACTCCAGCAGCAGCAGGTTCAGGTTTAATAACTCAAGGTTTCTCCTTGAGGTTGTTCACATAAACAGCCGGGGGTATTTTTATGGCAAAAACTTGTTTTCCGATAAGGTTGTGCTCAGAAATCATCTGTATGTAGGCAGACAGATGAGTCTGAGTCATCTGAACCCTCATGTTGATGCCCCGCTCTTCTCCAGAATACTTATTACCTTTTCACAGACAATTCGCCTCACAAGTCCTTCAGTGTTTCTCAGTGTGGAAGCTTCACCGGAGGATAAATCCGCTCTAGTGAGTCTGTGTAATAAGCTCTAATATTGTACTCCATTCACGGACAAATCTGGCAAAGGAGCACATGACAATCAAGTGTCTATATTTTGTCTTTATTTCATGATTTATTGTCCCCAATTCCTTCACAACCGTTTAATATGTTGTTTAGCCTGGACAGCTGCTGTATAAGTGATATAGATCAACAAAACATTCCTCAGTTTCACTTTTAGATTCAAAGTTCATCCGTTTTAAAGTTTCTTTCTGCAAACATAAATAATTACTTTGTTGTCATTATGAGTGGCCACTTTGTTGTATATCTTGGGATTAAACAGCAGCTTTCCCCCTCTCCTCAGAGATGATCCGATCAGCCACTCCGTTCCCTCTGGTCAGCCTCTTCTTCATGTTCATCGGCTTTGTCCTTAACAACATCGGGCATGTTAGGCCTCACCGCACCATCCTGGCGTTTGTCTCTGGCATCTTCTTCATCCTCTCGGGTACGCTCTTGTGTATGTTTCTGTCTTCTCTTCTTGTTTTTGTCCGACTCTGGATGTGATATTTATGTCTCTGTCTCTCAGGTCTGGCTCTTGTGGTGGGTCTGGTGCTGTACATCTCCAGTATAAATGATGAAATGCTGAACCGGACTAGGAGCAGTGAGGCCTATTTTACCTATAAGTACGGCTGGTCCTTTGCCTTCGCTGCCATCTCCTTCCTGCTCACTGAGGTGAGCAACTGACTAGCTACTAACTGACTTATAACAGTATTTATAACAAAAATGAAAAATCTCGAGTGTAACAATACAACAAATTCAACCTTGCTTCGCATAAAAATGTACTCATGTCCTGGACTTTTACTGTAGCAGGAACTAATGACACTTAAAGTAGAGTGCATTCAATTTTCTCAGTTTCCTTCATATTTTAAGACGTCCACATTATTAGTTACACATGTACAGTCTAATGAAATCAATACAATTGTTCTGCCATAAAGTCTACTTTTATGATGCCTAATGTTCAAGTGTTTTGTTTGTTTAGTTTTTTGATGCTGTTGTTTTAGCACTGAGGTCATAGTTAATGGTTGTATTGTGCTCCACTGTATTATGTTACAGTTACAGAGAAAAAAATACATTTTAAAATACATTTAAAAACAAAGAACAATATTCTACCACTTCATGAGTCTCATAACACCTCTCTGGTCTCCAGTGAAACCATAGCTAATCCTACAGTTGCCAGTTCATTATAATGTAGTGAACAAAGAAATGCTTTAGGTGGAAATGTCGCCATTATTTTGTCTTTAAAGCTGAAAGGGGGACAACATCAAGTGCTGCCTTTCAGCTGCGCATATAGTCCAGAAGCTTCTGCCAGAATTTGCTGAATGAAAGCCAAGTTTTTCTTTAAAAACACACATTTTTGATGCTAAAAGTCTCGGTTTCCATTTTCTTTTTATTACATTGTTCTGTTGCCTTATAGAATATGTAATGTATCTTATGGATATTTCTTCTCTCTTGTCTTTATTTCCTATTTGAATTAAGTTACATTACTATAATATAGCGATACTTGGATTAGGTTACTGACTACATTACAGGTAACATGTAATTAATAATTGTATTGGATTACATTTTCAAAGTAACCCTCCCAACCCTGATTAGATTGTTAATAATAATTAATAGCAATAATAATTGCTAAATTGCTAATAAAGTTCTGTGTCTGCCTTCATGTAGTAGACTCAGAATCGTTAGTGTTCAATGCCCTCCAGTGGTCACAGAGGGAAACTGCAACACTTATGTTACATCAATGGCTTATACACACTGTTAATATCAGTATAATTGTTATAAAAATCAACATTTACAACTAATTATTAATATAATTAGTACAAATAATAACTGTAACATCAGTATTGGTAATTAATACTAAAATAAGCTGTTTTAATAACAATTTGCTGGTGTGGAGACCAGTCTACCAGCTTCATACCACCCTTAAGGTATTTAATTTATTTATGTTTAAACTGCTAGAGAGGTGGCTGTATAAATTGCATTGTTTCTTTTACCTGAAACACTTTCACTCATTATCCTTTCATATATGCAGAGTGCAGGCGTCATGTCCGTCTACCTGTTCATGAAGCGCTACACAGCAGAGGAGATCTACCAGCCTCGTCACCCCAGTTTCTACCGCCCTCGCCTCAGCAACTGCTCCGACCACTCGGGCCAGTTCCTCCACCCAGAGGCCTGGTCACGTGGGCGAAGTCCCTCTGATATCTCAAGTGAAGCTTCACTCCAGATGAGCACCAGCTACCCCGCTCTCCTCAAATGCCCTGACTACGATCAGGTCTCGTCTTCACCCTGCTGAGGGGTCGGCAGCCACATCAGAGGACACCTACATGTGACTAAAGGGTCATTGGAGGATCACATAGGGGCACAAGGCCTACTGAGTTTTCTTTCAAAAAAAAGATACAACTTAGATATTTTAACCGTGAGTTTGATGTTTTTCTGGGAGAAAACTATGTGCAGCTTTGACTGTGGTTTAAGGACTTTGGAAATATGTCCTTCTGAGCCACTTGTGGCTTTCTGTAGGATCAGAGATGCTTTTTGGGGAAATTGTTGTTGTAGCAGAACCTACGTTTTTAATAGGTGCCGGAAAAGTTTGAAGATTTTAGAAAAAAAACAGTTATGGTGTTATTCTCTCTGCAAAGGTCTCAGAGTTCTGATTTCTGGTACACGACCTTTGAACTTTATCTGGAAAAAGGTTCTGGTTTAATTGTTTCTGTGCATTTTACCCTCCAGTGCCTCATAGCTGTTTCTCTGTGTGGATATCCTGGCTTCCTCATTTTAAATGTTTCTTATGCTTTCTGACCTTTTTGTTCTAACTGTGGCAGTGTTGATGTATCACGTCATTCTGCAGAAGTCCACCAGAAATCAAACATTAGACAGACCTAACCTGTCCCCCCAAGAGCAGAACCCCACAGAGCAAAGACTGCCATCTGTGATGCAATGAAAGGAGGATGCATTCCCACTATTACAACCATCAAACAGCACTGGAAGAAAGGAAACAGGCTCAAGAAATCCTGTCGAGCCTGCTGACGTGTTGTTGGTTTTGCTTGCCGTTTTGTCTCTGACATCTTGACTGTAAGAAGAGTATTTCCCCTGTGATGATCGTAGCAGTAAGACATGATGAAAATGTTAATTTTCCTGTGTCAACAAAAGAGGACTTTTCTGGTCTTGGGAGAGACAAGAAAGACATGGACACATCCAGACTAAACTAGCTGAGATCACGCACTGGCTTTATATAGATTTTTCTATAATGTGTACAGACTGTTGGGTATTATATGAATTCATGGTAAGAGTTGATGTAAAGATGGTGTTATTCTAAATGTCGGTCTTAATGAGAAGTCATCTGTAAAATAAAGGTGTCATCAAACCAAACAGCCTGTAGTTTGTTTTATTTCCCATACAGTAATTCTACATTCCTCCACTAGGAGGCAGTGTTTGATTGTTTTTGTTTTGTTTTACAGCTTTTCTCTTTTGCTTTGGTCCAATAAAAATCCTGCTTTTCAAAACACAAATCCACATCATGAACTGTCACACAGAATTCAGATTGTCTAAGTTCATCTCCAGTGATGACTTGAATTAGTCTTGGTGGTCAAAATAAATTATACTATAATAATCTCAGATGTGGGAAGTGCATTGGCACAAAACTGAAAAACTGAAAAGAGGACTGTTTATCTGAGTTCATGAAAAATTTACTTTTTACACTCTGACACACGTTGAATCAGTATATATTATTAGTTACACATGTACAAATTCAATCCAATGTAACTGCTCTTCCACAACATCTGTCTTTATGAAGCTTTACAGTGTTTGGTGACAGTGTTGGAAATGTGTAAATTCATTTATATGTTCATTACTGAGGTCATAGTTAAAGGTGTTGTTGTACTGGACTTGAGAGGTGTTTCTATTTGTTTTGTCCTACTTGTCCTCCTGCAGATTAGAAACACCTCTGAATATAATGCAGTCCAGGAAAACACCATCAGTACTAGAACCTAATTAAATTAACACCTCTTCGACAGCGTCACACAACAGGAATGTTATAGGATCATAAAAACTTTATGGCAGAACAGTTGTTTTTGTTTGCATTATGTTTTATAAAGTGAGCAGTGTGTTTTGAGTGAACGACTGTTTTGTGCTAATTAAATTACATGGTGGTTGTACTGAAAAACTGAAACATTTTTCTGAAAATGTGCTGAAGTAATCGAAAAAAAACTGTAATTCTACCAGGCTGCCTTTACTAGCTTTGACCTTAGACCCTAGCCCTTACAATAATCCTTCTCTGATCATTAAAGTCCCCCTAAAGTCCCCCAAAATATGTTTTTATTCTTGTTCCTACAGTTGGATGTTCAAGCTTCACTGTGCAGTGCTGGTCCAGTATGCAACTTACACAACTACATCTTGTGTCCAGCAGGAAAACTATAGCAATGAAATAAACATATTGTTGACTGTTTAAGGATTTTATGTCTTTTTAAGAATGTTAATGTGGAAATTTTACTTTTGTGTGGAAAAAATACACATTACTGTTCCAAGCAGACTATTTCTATGTATGTGTGAATACATGTGTGGAGGGGATCTTTAAATGAATGTTGCTTGCAATCATCATCTTCTTATTATATTATTATCACTATTACTGACTCTATGACTTTAGTAGCAAATACCAGTAGAGGGCGCTCTCTCCCCACTCATCCTGTGCTACATTTTCTCTCCCACTCAGATGTCTCTCAGGGACTAAACATGTTTTCCTTTTACCTTTCCTGTTCTACTTCCTGTTTATCTGACCAGATTGAATTAAACACCATTGCTCTGCATGATACAGAACGACATGATTTACATTCAGAGAGCTTGTCACGGCACCTCATGAGAGATATCTGTATAATTAATTAATGATATATCATTACTTATGCAAATATGTAGGTCAAGATGAGCATCAATAATAAATACACCATACATCTGCTGTAAGCTTTATGTATACTTTATATAGATACACGTAATGTACAACGTGACCAATAGCTTTTACAGAGAATATAAAAGTTAATGTAACTATAAGCCCACACAGGGCGGTAGAAGATAATATTCTGCCCTGACCACAAGGCTTTCATTTTATTTTACAATCACATAGAAAACTACTGGTGTTTATAGTTTTTGACATCATCATCAATGATAGTATCATCATCATCATCATCATCATCATCATCATCATCATCATCACTGATATTACTTCACTATAATCATTGTCATTAACATCAAACATAATTTTCACTATAATCTTTATCATCGTAAAATACAACCATCTCTCGCACTCATTAATAATGGCTTTTTAACAGCATCATCATAGTTATTGACCAATATCATCATCATCACCATCATCATCACCATGTGTTTTCTTATGATTATGTTTAAGGCTTTTGTAAAGAAGACCCCAAACTTCAGCTGATGCAAACGTCTGCCTGTAGGCTCAAACAAGTTACACAGAGTGTGCATACTACAACAAAGAGACCAGAAACCTATACATTGTATATACATACATAACTTAAGCATACATTGTTTAACATTTACAGGTAGTATTAAACCATTTCACAAATGAAAATAAATACAAAATGATAGTCGGTTATATTTATATACTTTTAAAGAGGAACACAAAAAGCAAGCAAGGATCTTTAGGATTACAAACCAAATGCAAACAGGATCACAACAATACATCGACCTTCACTGACATAGGTCATAGACAAGAAAACAAAAGCTTAATCAGACTGGTACCCTATATTGGGCCATTGCACAGCCATAAATAAAACCTACCAAGACTGAAAAGACTTTCTCAAGGGAAAGAGCTTTTTTTAAAGTGGAAATCCTTAAGATTTGAATATAATTAAATCCTGTTTTGATACTATTTATGGTCAGCGTTTTATCTGCAATTGCTAATTAATGTATTTAAACTCTGTAAATACCGCTTTTAATATTAGTTTAGATTGGTAATGGCGGAGTCCGCTATTCTCCTGCTGGCTAGGAAGGAAACAATGCATGCATGTAATCCTGCTTCACTGTAATTAATTATATCTCATGGACATGGGCCTCATTGTTTATTGTTCAATCTCAGTTGTATCTTAGGAGTATAAAGTTACTGCTAATGCAAACATTTCACATTAAAAGTGTTCAACTGCAAAACATGGGGTGGCTTTTATTGTGAAGAAATCAATTGAAATGCATTTTATTTGTCACTAAAGTTAGTGCTAACTGACATCATTCATCAATAATATATGTGTACAAAACCAGAGGCAAATTTTTGGCTTTTTTTTTGTCCTACTCCTCAGCAAGGTAACCAACTACACTTTGCACTGCCGTGACTACTTGTGCCATGCCGCTTGAAATCAGATAATGTTTGCAATAATGTGACAACAATGTGAGTTTGTTTGCCTGCACTGTAAACGGATACACCAGCTGCTCTCCTGTTGCATTTCTGATAAAGTGGCTGCTCAAGGAGCGTTTGCTGTAGCATTAAACCACACCCGCTGTTACCACCATTAAACACAGGTGTCACTAAATCAACCAGGACTGAAATCTTAAGGATTACAACTCTAAATCCAAAAAGCAAGTTTAATCTCAAGCTTCTGCAAAAGCTAATTTTCTACTCAACTAAAATAAAAAAGTATGCACATTTCAAAATTCTCTGCTCCGCACAAATAGATGAAATCAGCCCAGCTGACTCAAGACTGTAATGCTTTGTTAGGAACCTAAATGTAAGCCAGCGCTGTTTTCTGAGGTTACTCTGAGCAGGGCTTCAGCCATGGCACCTGTAGAGAAGAATTCAGCACCAGAGTGAGATGACGACATGGTCCAGGTGAGGTTACACTGCACTGGTCTGCCCACCACCTCGCAAAATGTGTCCATCTGTCTCCTCTTCCCACCCTCCTTCCTTTAAACGCCTCTTATTCACCCACACATTGTGTGCCCTGTATAGATGACCATGCATCTGAACTCTGATTTTGAATTACCACTTTTTCATAAAGCACAGTGGAGGGAACGCTTGTATGACTTATGCACCCATACTGTAGATGCTGTGTGCACTGATAGCATGCACACTGCTGCATACACACACATACACATACACACACACACACACACACACACACAAAAACACAAACATATTGGTCTATAATAACCCACATGCATGCATGTGCACCTGAAACATGGCAGTTTTGCTTTAGGGAGACCTAGAAACATGGTACGACCATGAGAGGGGGAGGTAGGGGGTGTGTATGAGATGGAGGAGAAACAAACTGGCTGGTTGGTTGCTCATGTGCTGCTCCATGCAAGTCCATATATCTGAGTCTCCTGCAGCTCTGCTGTCTCCTCAGTAGTGTGTGATGTCTCCCCAGCAAGTGCACATGACTTGTAAACAGTCCAGGGAAGAAACTGAGGTTTGTCTTCAAGGGCGAAGTCATTTATGTAGTGAAGCAGCTTCGCAGTGGGTGGTTTATGTGTTCACGAACTGAAGGGGAGAAAGATGGAGGCGGTGGAGGTCGAGAAGATTGTCCCTCTTCACTTCTTGTTGGCGATGCGTCTCTTCCTGGTGGCCAGCATGTCGTAGAAGGGATCTCTGCTAATGCTGGCCCTGGAGAAGAAGCCAATCAAAGGACAGCGATGAAATAAATAATAAGGCCACATGAGAGGAGGGTCTCAAGCATCTTTGATATGGAAATGTAGGCACATTTATACAAACCCCTGCCTAACTAGATCAAAAAAAGAACAAAGTTTGTGCAGTGACCTAGTTTGGTTTCCATGGTTTCTGCCCCCCCCCCCAAGTTGGTACTCTGGTTTTTTGGAACCTCCTCCAGAACTCTGCCAAGCTCGTAGTAAAACATACAATCACACACTCTCCCTCCCGCAGTTCTGCAGGTTTATAGGTCTGAAGGAGGGCAAACAATGGTGCTCAAGATTATAGACTCCTCGCGTTCTCCCGCTCCCCTTTTTTAGAGCGATGGCAAAGCAGCGCACAATGAGAGCAAGTGAGTCAGAAGCCATTTGGGCTCTACTGAGGAGCCCGGTTTCACGGCTGCTAAATCCTGTTAGCACCAGCACAAAGCAAGAAGAGGCTCAACCCCCCACTGCGGATATCTCTGATTCCCTTTACAACGCCACGCGCTGAAGAATGAGTGTGTCTATGATGACTATCCCGCTCTTTCATACTGCACATTGTCATCTTGCACAACCCAATTTCATGAAACAAAAACTCCATTGTACAGTGATCAAATCCGAACAAGGCTGCCATGGCTAATGTGACATTTCCTCCGTTTCTGTCCTTAAAAATATGTAAAAACCTAATGTATTTAATGGAATGGGAAATATAACATAGAAAAACACACACTTTCACCAATAAGAAACAACAGCCCACATTCTCCATTCGCCCAGTTGGGGCACCATCATCTGGGTCTGTGTGTTTGTGACTCAAGATAGAGCGTTTCCTCTGTGATCATCTCTACTTCAGAAGAGGAAGAAAATCATCATTTCCATAAAACGCCTTTTTATCTCCCCAGACCCCAAGTCCTCTTGGACCCCTCTGGTTAAGCGCAAGCTGTGGCTCGTTAGCCCCCATGGCTGCGGATGCGTCAGCCCAGTTTGGAGCTGGCTCTCCTGGATAGGTTTGCTGGGTTTTCTGGCTCACCCCTGGGGTGCTATAAGCAGTGACTAATCCTCCATCATTTCCCCAGTGAATACACTTTGAGAGTATGAAGAGAGGGGGAGGAGGAGGAGGAGGGGGATTGCACTGTATTACAGTACACAAGTGTTCTGTTCTGCTGAGCCAACTCTCTTTGACATTGCACCATCTCCTATGCAGGCGATTACAGAGCAACATTATGAAAGAAACGTTATCATTACTGAGAGCTATGTATGGTATCTGACAGAAAGAAACCACACTTTTGCTGTCTGTTTTTCTATTTATATCAATACTGTAATGATATACTCAGTATAGGCTCTTCCACATTGTTCTTATAGTCTATTCGTATAGATTTTGGTACTAGTCAAGGTGGCAAAATGTATATTTCAATTATGTAGAAAAGGTAGGTTTATGTCTGTATTATATATTTAGTATGACAGCTCATGAAGTCAACCACCCACGACAAGAAAATTGACTTTTAACACTTTAAGGACCTTTATGAAAGAAGTAGTTGGAAATGTTGGGAAATGCATTCATTCACTCTTTTGCTGAGAGTTGGATGAGAGGATTGAATAAATCCTCTTTCCCACTTCTCACAAGGACCAGTGTGTACCCATCTTACACTCGCTTCTCACACGTCCTCTCGACCTCGCACGCCTAACTGACCGTACGCAGTCATCCAGTCATGTAAAGTTATAACATGGTGTCAGAAGTTGGTCCAGTTTGTCACTTTGCCAGAGTTGACACTGAAGTCTTACTAATGTTAAAAAATAAATGTTGTCGCCAAGCGCAGTAACTTGTCATGTCATAGTGAGGTTGTCAGGCAACATGTGGAAACTTCAGATGAAAAAACCCCTCTCAGCTAAAATTGAATAAAAACTAATGCTTAGATTGTCTCTGTGAGGAGTCTTACTTGATGGATTTAATCCACTCCTCTTTCTCTTCCGGCGTGGGCGCTGATATCCTGTACACCACGTGGTTGCCCTCAACAACACGCCCATCTGCCTCCGTCTTGCAGGCTTTGATCACCTGACCCTTGTGATTGGGGTTGTAGAGCTCAAAACAGTTCTGGAGAACGGACAAAGAGCAGAACATCAATAATGTGCTACTGTGAGAAGATTAGATTTAAACATCCAAAAAAACACTGTAGCAGAGAAGAAAAGATACTTCATGTATGATCTAAAGGGTGAGGTCTCTAATGATGAGGCAACACTTACAGGTTTCCTGGGCTCCTCCACCTCCCTGATGCTGAGATTCTCCAGTGGGATGATCCCACGAGGCTCCTTGTCCTAAAGGAGAAAGGGATGAGAAGGGGAAACATGAGATGCGGGAGAAAAACAACCAAGCGAAGCAAACAAGAACAAATTCAGATCAGAAGAAAAATGGCAAGAAAAAGCAAGACTAAGAAAGCGGTGCATCTAAGAATCATATAAGACAAAGACGAAAAGGGGATGAACAGAAAGAGAAAGGAAAGAGGAGATTAAAGTAGTTGTAAGTGAAGAAGGGAAGAGTGGATAAAATCCTCTGTGACGTGTTTTGCTAGCATGGAAATAAACCTTGCCCCCCCCCCCCCTCATCCTCGCTGCTCTTTAACAGAGCAGATAATGTGTGGAGCAGTCAGACCAGAGGACGGGACATAATGATAGTGTCCTGAACGATAATACCAGGGTATACAGAGGACAGTGCTGATGTAGCAGCTCGCAGGGACACAGAGGCACTGATGAAAATCTTCAATGATGCACATACAAACAAAGTGATACGGATACACAAACACAATCACATGTGGACAGAAACATATACAGACGAATGAACACTCTTTACTGCTAAACAAAATCAAGCCTTTTTTCGTGGTAACACAAGTGCCACTGTGCTGGGGAATAATTAATGACAACCGATGACCATTGAAGCATTTTCTAAACAGCAGCCACAGTAGCCACAAGTGGAAATTAAACATTACATTTCCCAAGATTCAGCTTTAAAGATCATTATGTGACCTGAATATGAAAATATTTATCTGCAACATTCAGCTGTAGCACAAGTCAACATTAGCACGGTGTAGCTAGAGAAATGTGAAAGTTTGAATAAGTGTACTGAATTGAGCGTTACTTATTAATTCAACTTTAATTTGTAAGATAATATGTGACTTATTTCTTCATTAAAAAATGTCACAGTCTAGCTTTAAAATTAAGTTTAAAAAATGAATATTAAACAATTTCTGTTTAGCAGTGTATTGTTTCTGGAAAGTGCAAATAAAACAATACATAAAACAACAGGCTGTTGTCTACTCCTACTTCTAATTTTGTTATTTCACCCTCACACTCCGAAATGTGTTATGTGTTATAATCCCAAATCCAGTCCACCCGAA